AAGGCCTTTCCTGCCTCTCACCCCACCCTGCCAGTGAGTGGGCTGGGGGTGCACGAGGAGTTGGGAATGGACACAGCTGGGACAGCTGATCCCAACTGGCCAGAGGGATCTCCCAGACCGTGTGATGGTGTGCTCAGCAATACAAGCTGGGGTGAGGAGGAGGGTTAAACCATGACACTGGGCAGTGCATCTCTACTGGCTCCTAAAGCTGAGGAGACTGCTTCAGTGGATATCCTTCACATCTTGAGTGTCTTGTTTCAGAGAAAGCAATAATTGTTTCTGGATGCACTGGACATTGCGAGGCATTAAAAGCAAGCATTGAACTCCACTCAAGCTGTAAGAGTAAACAGGAACTCAAAAGATGATCATTACAGGAAGAATGTATATCCAGTTCTGCCCAGACCAGAAGAAATCAGACAAGTTGCAGAAATGAGGAACACGAGTTACGTGGGAGTGATGTTTTCTTGCAACACTTCTTATAGCACTCAATAAAGATCTGTGTCACATTTGGGGACATCCCGAATTTTTAAGAAACAATAAGGGTAGGACAAGGAATTTGCATGAGTAACCAACCCTCCCTTTCTCATTTATCAGGGCTGTCTTCCAGCAAGGGTTCAACTCTTTTCACAGTCTGCCAAATCTTTGCAAATGATCTCATGGACATGACCTCCCTTTCTTGGAGTCTTGCAGCTTCCCTCCAGCAAACATGGCAGGGACAGTGTTGGGAACACATGATAGCTCTCCAGCTGCTTTGCTGTGACTTTGGAAACTGGATGTGTAAATTTATGCTTCATGCACAGTTGTCACCTCTGAAAAGTGAACAAAGGCAAACACAGGTACAAATTTCAGGCAGCCAGCCAACACAGTAGACAGTTGCCTAGGGCAGCAGACTGTTGAATGCAGCAGAATGCCAAGGCTTTACAAAGATGAAGGCTTGCTGCCACTGCTCTGCCCTCTAAGAAGCATTAGACCTTTAATCTAAGGGTTGAGATTCATGTTCTGTTTTCAGGCAACAGCTCCTAACTTGGCCCAGGTGATCCTTAGTGCTCTGGGTGCAAGCATCAGACCTGCAGTGCTCAAGCAGGTTCGCTCCTGCTGTTTGAGTGATCCTTGCCCACTGGACGGGGTGGGATGGGACCTTTTGCCAAAGAAGTGAGAGCAACCTGTGGTTTTGGAGTTCTTCCTCCTGCTCCTTCATCCCCTGGTGTAGCAGGAGTGGTCTGAGTCGGTGTGAGTGGGCTGCTGCAGGGGAAGGATGGTTTGGGATAAAAGTGGGATGAAAGGGGGACGATGGACAGGGATGATGTCCAGGAGGGGTGGTGTGCCTGCAGTGAGGTTGGGCTCTCCTACCTAATGCTTCTCTGACTAATCATTCATCCCAGCCCACCAGCAGCCCCACTGCAGCCCACCTCTCATCCTCACAAAATGTCACTGATGCCTCCCACCCAGCCCTGCTTGGGCAAACAACGTTACAAAGCTGTTTGAACCAGCCCTGCAGTTGGGCTTAAAAGATAACCCAAACTGTTTATTCATAAAATCAAAACCTCTCATTCAGGATTTTGGTGGCAAGTAGAAACAGGCACAAGAGGGGAAGACCATATTCTCCAGACCACCAGCCAAGTGCTTTTCAGCTTTTGGTGTGGAAGTTGCTGGCTGAGCCCAAATCCCTGCAGCAATGCCTCAGCTGCTATTATCACTTTATCTGAGGTCATAAACACAGTCAGTGAAAAAATTATTTCCAGCACCTTGAGAAGGACTTGCTTCCATGATTCACGTAGTAGCTGAATGGCAGTTCCTTTCACCAGCGGCAGATTTGAGGCAGAATTCAGAGTCTGAGACCTCTCCTGCTGAAGGAACTCCTTTAGTTGCCACCTTTGACAGGATATTAGGCTGGCTGGAGAAGCGATCTTATCCCATACAGCAATACTTACGTCTCGTGTTTCAAAATAAGATTGCAAGCACTTGCTTGTGCTCGTTGGCAGTCAGGTTGCTAGCAGCAGTATTCATAACACTTTACTGTCGTTCATCACTGTCTGCCTGTGCATATTAATGCTTAAAATGAGATATTTAATTAGTGCCATGTGTTTCTGGACCAAGTTTCACGTGAGCATCTCCCAGTCTTTTCCGGCTGGCAGGGTTTTTGTTTCCACCACGCCACGGTGCTGTCAGTGAACCCCCAGTGCAGGGCTGCCTGGTGGTGTGTCCTGGCTGCCCCCTGAGTGCTGCAACTGCGCACATGTGCTCAGAGAAGCTCACATGGACATTGACATCACCTGTATTTGTGGAGCTGCCTCATCAGCTGCTGCCGTCTCACATTCCTGGCTGGGAGAGGCACCCGGGCGGCTCGCCATGGTTTACTCCTTTCTCAGAATCCGCAGGGTGAGGGCAAAGTTTGGAGATGCACTTCTCCCATCATGTCATCTATTTACATGGCACATGCCTTGTGTGTGTGTGAGACAGTGAGGTCTTTTATTTTTTTTCCCCCTGCCCTAGTTCTTCTTTCTGGCAGTGGCGAGATGGAAAGGTGGGACGCTCTCATCTCTGCCAGCGAAAAGGTTTTCTGTATCTGAGACTGGCTTGGAAATTCTTTAGGTGACATCACACCATGTCTGTGCAGACTCATTGTTTGTCATGGAAAAGCCATTCATCCATACACAACTTCCTTCCTCCCCAGACTCACGGAGATAAACTTTCCATTCTGTCTATTCCCTATAGAAACAGACCCAAAACATGTATGCGTGGCTACACACACATACACCTCGCCATCGCTCCGTCACGCTCGGGGCTGTGGGAGGAGGAAAAGGGAGGATATAGAAGATGTGAATAAAGTCACCCTGTTTTCTTCAGACATGGATCCCGCTGTGCCCAAGCAGTAAAACTCCCCTCCCACTGAGGTGCTGGGTCACACAAGGCTTTTTTGTCCTGAGGCTAATTCTGGCACTTGCAGCCCCACATCTGCCTGCCAGGTGAGATGGGCCACCAGCTGCAGGTACAGCACATCTGGATGGGGGAGGAAGTGAAGCGTGCTGCAAACAAACACAGCAAGTCCACCGTGGCGGGTGCAAGGAATTCGATAGAAAATACACTTCAGCAGTCTGAGCTGCCGAGGCTGGTGATTCATGTCTCGGGTGCTGCTGGCGGGGCAGACGGCAAGGCTGGGTACTCGTGTACCCCGCAGCCTGGGGAGGACCCGCACGTTCAGCCTGCCTTTGGGGACCCGCTGGGCAGGGGCAGGGCTGGGGGGACACCAGGCCTGGTGAGGAGGCTGGGGTGGGGCATTTTTCCATGGAAGAGAGGTAGGAACCGGGTGGTGCAGGGTAGGACGGTAGTGGGAAGCCTTATAGAGGTGAAGGCAGCGTCGATGGTGTGATAAGGTGTCTGTTTCCCTACGACATGAGGGAGGCAGGGTGTGAGGAGCACATCAGAAATACCTGCACACAATGCAGGATACCTGCATTTGTTTCTGCCGGTGTCCGGGAGGGACAGGGTTGCAGCTCGATTGCCCTGCCTTTGAGATTCGCGGTGATTCCAGCGGGGAAGGGAGAGGGTGTTTGGACAAGAGGAGTCTTTGAAGCTTTTCTCCTGTCCACCTCCCCTGCCCATAAAGCCATTAGGCTCCGGTGCCAGCCCTATCTGCGCTCGTCGCTGGCGGCTCGGCCGAGCCTCGCAGACCCCCCGTCCGGGGCACGGGGCTGGGGCCGTGGCGTGGGGCCCTTCGAGAGGCCGTTTTGGGGAGGGGGCAGCTCCTTTCCGAGCCGCCTCTGCATTACAAAGGCAGCGGGGCCAGCGCGGCGCTTTGATGTGCCCCGCCGGCTCCCGCACACCTGCGGCCGCGGGGCTCCCGGCACCGCCGGACCGGGGCGCGCATCAAAGCCCGAGCCGAGCTTTGGGGGGCGGCCCGCAGGCACCGCAAGGGTGAGAGCAGCCCCGCCGTCTGTCCGCTCCCCCCGGGCCGCACCGGGAGGCTCCGGCGGCGGAGCCCCGGCAGCGCGGCCCCTGCCCCGGGGCCGGGGGCGGGCGGGAGGCAGGGCCGCCGCCGGAGCCCCCGGGAGGCGGCGGCCGGGGGAGGGTCCTGCGGGGTGGGAGGGGGCGGCAGCCGGGCTGAGCTCGCCGCGCCCCCGCCGCACGCAGGCCCCGCTCCAAGGGCTTCTCCTTCGGCACTTCTCCGCAGGGCGCCCCGTCCCGGCGGCCGGCTCCGCGGGGGCTGCCCCCGCAGCCCACCATGACCGGGCCGAGGCTGGCCCTCGCCGCCGCGCTCCTCTGCAGCTGCACCTCGCCGGTGGCCGACGCCAACTCCTGGTGGTAAGTGAGGGGAGCCGGCGGAGCCTTTGTCCGGGACCGTCCGGGGCCGTGCAGCAGCTCCTGCCCTGCGTCCTCCTCGGGAACTTCCCTGCCTCCCGGGCTTCTTTCGCAGCAGCTCGCTTCTCTCCAGGTTCCCCCCTCTGTCCTCCCGCTGTCCCTGCCCTGTTTCAGGAGTGGTGGGACGCAGCCCCTCTCCTCCAGGCATTTCTGGGCTCCTTTTGTACGGGCTCGCTGAAATGCCGTCCGGGCTTTAGGATGTGGGGAATGTGTAGGGAGTGGATGGGTAAGGTTTCCTACCCGCTGCCAAAAGCCCGGGGAGCAGCCGCGGAGCCCCTTCCCCCGAAGAGCGGAAAATAGCCTGGCTCAAAGGCAGGCATCGCTCGCTGGCGCTGTGTAAAATAGCTGCTCGCTTTCTGCTGCAGGGAAAGTGCCGAGCTTTCTCTCTGCCTCCTCCCCATCCCGGGTGTCCTCTGTGTTTAAACTCGGCTTACAAACGAACAGTGTTGCTCCCGCTAGAGCCTTGGAAAAGCCTCGCATCTGGCAGAGCAGTGGAGGGAGGCAGCTGACATGAGAAATGCGCCCGGGCTCCCGGAGCGGGGCTGGGCTGGGCTGGGCTGGTGGGGAGAGGTGTCGGGCGCTTCGCGGAGGGGGCCTCTCCCTCCAGACTCCCTGGGATGTTTTTCTCATCGTAGGTCTTTGGCCATGAACCCCATCCAGAGGCCTGAGATGTACATCATCGGCGCCCAGCCGGTGTGCAGCCAGCTGCCGGGGCTGTCCCCCGGGCAGCGCAAGCTCTGCCAGCTCTACCAGGAGCACATGGTGTTCATCGGGGAAGGGGCCCGCAGCGCCATCAAGGAGTGCCAGTACCAGTTTCGGCAGCGGCGGTGGAACTGCAGCACGGTGGACAACACTTCCGTCTTTGGGAGGGTGATGAAAATAGGTAGGAGCACCTAGAAGTACAGAAGTACACCCGGCAGCACAGTGAAGTGCTGGGCTCAGGCAGCTGCACTGTCCCTCTGCATCTCTGTCCCGTCCTCCAAATACGCAGGCAGGAGTGATGAGCCCCATTAGCACGGCTCCTGAAGCTGCCTTTAACGAGCTGTCCCATTCCCTGGCACTGCCCGAATGCTGCCTGTGCCTGGCTGGTGGCACCGATGCAGCTCGGCCACAGCAGGAGCCAGCGGGGGGGCGAGCGGGACACAGTTTCTTTTGGGGGGAGCACGGGAAGGTCAGGAAAAGGGGGGCTGCCTCTGTCTGGTGGGCTTTAAAGGTAATGAGGGAAGAAGCTGGAGGCAGGAACAATGGCCCCGTGTTATCGTTCCCAGCATCTCGGAGAGGGAATGCAGCCCTGAGATGTGGGAAATACGGACTCTTCGGGCATGGAAATTCCCCCACTTCCCCATACTGCCACTTTCTGTGTAAACTTAAGGGATTTTTATAATTCCTGCCCAATAAGAGGCACATTGACAGGCCATTGCTGCACTTGAATTGAGGTGTGACCTAGCTACATTGTCCCAGCTCCTTTTGAAATGCAGTCATCTGATGGCAAGAAACTGAGAAATCCGGGCTCGGTTTGATATGTCCGACAGCCAGGCCAATAAAGAAAAGGTGTTAAAACAGCCACACACACAAACACACACACACACACTCACTCACTCTCCACAACCCCTGTCCGAAGGTTTTGTTTCCCACCCACAAAGCCAATCATTTACACAGAAGAATCAGAAGTATTTCTCGGTTGTGAACTCGAGGGATGGAAAAAGACCTTCAGCTCCTGTACCCCCAGTACTGCTCGCACTGGTTTTGGTTTCACTCTCAAAGAAACTGCATAGGCAGCAGGACACCGGGAGATGCATCTTTAATACCTCTGGGGCGTTTAGGCGATAGGGCACAAAGTCCTGTGATCTCCTCCATTTGATCCTGAAATTCATGTGTCATCCTCGAGAATTCTAGGGATATTTCTGCACATGTTAACTCAATCTTGCAGAATTCCTAATTCAGCCCACCAGAGCTATTCTAATTCTTCCCTGTCTGCCTAGCTCATACCCCAACAGCTCTTCTCTGGGGTATTCCCCTGGGAAATGCCGTTTCCTTACACATACTTCCAGTTCCTGTCACACATCCAAAGCATCTGTGCATCCTTGATCTCTCACTTTCTGATAGGAAGGGTGGTGGCCCGATGGGGCTTCATGCAGTCCCAGATTGTTAAAACTTTGGGGGATGAAAACTGAAATTTCATCCACCAAAGGAAAATGACGTCCATCTATCCTCTCTGATGTCACTCCCTCACATAAACAATAGTGTTTCATTTCCCCAAATAAATACTTGTGACTCCACAAGGATGCAGTAAAATAGGAATCTCCCCTTCTAGAGCATTCCTCATACTCCAGTAGGTTTCTGCAACTCTGGGTTGGTGTGATGAGAGGGTCCACACGTGGAGAAGAGAAGTAAGGGTGAACTAAGAGAGCAAAGATCAGAGCTGAAAGATGAAAAGCTGTCAGGAAGAATCAGAATGTGTAGAGGAAGAAGGAACTAGAGTGGATACTGGGAGGGGGAGGATTTCTCCTTTCTAAAATGAATTTGATCCTATGAGTTAAGATTGGGAGCAGACTTCTTTGTGTTTTGGTGGAGATAGAGGTGTGTGACGGGTATGGCCATTAGTCCTCCTTGGTTTGTGTGTATTTGTGTGCATTTGCTTGTTGAGTGAGCCCTGTTCTGTTGTATCTGTGGTAGGAATCTGCTGATGGCAGTGTCTGAGGTGACTGCCTGCAGTTGCCCACTCTTTGAAAATCTATTCCAGCAGAGTTTTGGAACCATTCTCTGGTCAGTTAGAGCACATTGAGATGTTTATACTCCAGCAAGAGACTGCACAAAAGAAAAATGTCACTGCAGGTGTCCTGGGGTATTCCCGGGTCTTTGGTGATTCATGGCTGTTATCTGTGTCACTGATAAGCTGCTGTGGAAGGAGATGCTACCTCTCTTTTTTATTACCTTCCTTACTTTTACGTTTTCCTACTTTGTAATGAATCATTGCTTATCATTTCAGCAAATGTATTTTCCACGCTGGGGAAGAAGACAATGCCTTTCAATCTCTTAGGTTATGCCAGATATAAAGTCATTCTTCCCTGGGTTCATACTGTGTGTCTGTCTCCTACTTTCAACCTCTGAGCCCCAAATCTGGACCACAGCCCTTTTTCTGTACTCTGTGCCAATGGCACGAGAAAGGTCTGGAGACCAGAATATCTGCAAGAGTGCACAGACATGCCAGATTGTTGTGGAGAGGGAGGGGAAAGGAGATAAGAAGGACCCAGAAGGTGCACAGTGTGCCAACAACCCTCGCTGCCCACCCACCAATGCGAGCATGGCATATATTACATGATTTCTGGAGCTGGATTGTGAGAGGGGAGGAGAGCCTGACTTGGCCAAAGCCTGGGAGATCTGTGTGAGAGCGTTCACTCAGAAACCTGGAAGATCAGTTTCCTTTCCCCTTCACAGAACTTGACTTAGCTCAGGAGCAGGAGAGCTGGTCGGTCTGTGTTTAATCATTACACCTTCATTTTGTGCTTTTCATGGGAGTGAGGCAGTCCGGTGACACAAAGCTTTTGGAGGGGCACCCGTAGCACTGAAGTGGGCTGCTTTGGAGCACTGTTTTCTCTTAGTGTTTGTGTTGTTATAAGACTTGCTCTTAGCTTTTAAATGTGCCTTATTCAATAACAATATCTAATGATGTAAAAAATTATCCTTCCTGTTGCTTCCTGTTCTGTCAATACAGATTATGGACTGTGCATGTGTGTGTATATGTAGCTCTATACATTATACACAGACACATTCCTTACTGCTACATTTATGAGGGGGAGAGGACTGAGCACCCCAAAAGGTCATGTTAGAATTTCCTCAGGGGAGGAGAGAACATATCTCCTCCAGAGGAATCCTAAATGCAAGCCTGGGGTTTCCAGGTTAGTCCAGTCATTTCTGGAGCCAAAGATCTTATCTCTTCTGCCTTTTCAACTGCTAAAAGGGGAAAAAAAAAAAAAAAAAAGACAGTCATAAAAGTAGAGAACAAAGAGAAATTTTTTCCCCTTGTTTTTCTTCGAGATTGGCAAACTTTGGGGTAATGCTTTTGAAAACAACGAGTTGAAACGAAAACTTTTTCATTTTTCATTGGTGTCGGTGTCCCCGAACGGGGTCCGTTCTTCTCGCGTTTCCTTCTGGAGCAGCTCCGGGGGAGCGCAGCGCTGCCCGGGCGCGGCTCCGGGCGGGCGGGCACAGGAGGGCAGCAGAGCTCCGCCGAGCTCCCGGCGACCACAGCCCGCTGAGAGGCCACCGCTGAGTCCGGAATAACACCCCAGTCCTTGGAGAGGACCAGCGAAAACCCAAATGCTTTTCCAAGTGTTTGCTTTGTGGGCAGCAAGGGGGAGGGGGAAACCAAAGCGAAAAACCCCACCCTGCTGTGATTTGTTCCAGCCTCTTGTCCCACCACCATCCTCAGCAGCCTGAAAAACTCGTGCAGATGCAGGGGCTGCAGGCTGAGTTGTGCTGCTACATCTGGCAGGTGGAGAGGGTTAAAATACGGACAGTAAAAGTGTAAATCCCAGTGTCTTTTCGGGAATCTCAGGCTGTAAGGATGCTAAGCACCTGGAGTCATGCAGGCTCTGCTGCATGAGCTGTCACAGTGTGAGGTCCTTTCCGTGCATGTATTTTAATCTCTATAGACAGGGCAGTGCTCTCCTTAAAAGGATGATTGGTGTGTCCTCAGGGCTTTCTCCATACAGGTAGGGGCAAAACTCTACATTGGACTGTTACCATAAAATACCCATAGCATGCAAAAACAATGAGTAGATGAGTACAGATGAGTAAAAGCTTGATTTTGGTTACTGAAGAATTGCCCTAACTCTCTTATGGGCCACTCTCATCTGAGTTTCCTTAACTAGGAGTCACTCCTCTGCATCTCTTGGACCAGGGAGGTTTGGTGAGCATAGTTCTCTTCTAACGACCTGCGAGTAAGGACCTTCCTTCTGTATTATGTGTCATGTAGCATTTTGTCAGCTGTGTTCCCGATCAAAAAACCTTAGTGTTCATCTCTCATTTAGGTGAGGTAAAAAAATCAAAAGTTGTTCTGCAAAGTGGATGCTATTTACAGCCTTGCCTTTGTCTTGGGTCATTACCACTAAGCTGGTGATAAGCTGCTATTAATTAGGGATTGTCAGCACGTGCAAATTGGAACAAGAGCACACCAAATGCGTCAGCTCAGCCCTGCTGAGGGAGCTGGCACTGAGAGCCTCCTGAGCTGGTGATAAATTATTCTTTGAGGATCTGCCCTTTGAAGTCACTAAAATTTGCTCGAGAGCATCTTGCTGGGGTTTGGTGTAAGTAGCCCTTCACAATTAGATTGGTTATTCTAATGAAGCTTTGGCAGTTGTTCTCTTTATCACGTGCAAGTTTGGTAATGAGCACAATGGCTCTGAAGGTGTTGGTTCAGCTATTTATTAGACATGTGGTGAGAGTGCAGGTGTGGATTGCCTCTTTCTCCCTCTCCCCCTCTGCAGACACTCAGCACTCCTGGTGCTTGGTCTCACGCAGGGCTCTGGCTGTGCTGGTGCCCCGGTCACACTGGGGCTGAATCCCTGCCAGGAATACCGAGCTGGAGACCTGATCCAGCTGCTTGGCTCAGCTGCTGAGCTGTGGAGGGCATGCACGCCAAGCAGGGCAGTCCCTAGTAAACCTGCTTAATGGAAAGTCTTTTCATTTATTATGGTCTACATGGGAGTTTTACTTCTTCCAGCACTGTGGTTCTGCAGGCAGTGGAAGAGCCCCTGCCTTGATGTTGCAGTGCAAAAATTACTTTCCTTCACTTTGTCTACCAATAATTTTCAGCTGACCTTACATAAACTAAACTTAGTTCAGTGAAGAGGAGCCCACAAAGACTGCATGTCCCAATTAAATGAAAGGCACTCCAGAGCAGTAACTGGGTTAACCAGAGTACTCCTTTTGCACAGACCCAGCCTCATTGCTTGTTCTTAATGATTATTGCCAAACGCAGTGGCTAAGTCAGCGGCTGTAATTTCAGCAAGTGAATGACCCTCCTGCTGGTTGAGAGTTTCCTCAATGAAATAGAATGATTGGATGTCTTGCTTGGGGTGACTTTATGATGCTTGTATCCCCAATTGTCTGTTCTGTTGGTGTTGAATATTGAGTTTGCAGCTTTAAGACGGGTTCCAGGAGAGAAGGGGGAGAGAAGAGGTGCAGAGTTTGTTATCAGAGACTGCATTTGCTCCCCTGCATCCTTCACACAGACTGTGCTGTCTGCAGTGGACAGCAGCAGAGAGCTCTCTTTTGCTCTTGGTTAGTTTTTCTGGAGAGTAGAGGCAAAGAAGCTCCCTGGACTGTGGGTTGTTTTTTTTTCTTTTTCTTGGAATTGTCCGAACCTGCTCTGGACTGAAAACCCAGAGGAGCACCAGGAGCTCACACCTATGGCTCACCTGGGCTGTGACCCTTCCCAGGGATGGAGGGACTGAGAACAGCCTGAGTGAGCCGGGCTGCAAACCATGGAAGGGACTCTTCTGAATTTGTCATCTCATCAGAGCAGTGAGAGGTTTTGCTCTTTAGTATTGTTCATTTTTGTGCTGGGGAGTGCTTTGCCTGTTAAATAAACAGGTTTTTTTCCACTTCTCTCTGAGGAAATATTTCCCTGAACCAGCTGGGGGAGGGACTGCTTGAATCCGTTTCCCAGAGGGACCCCATTCAGCGGTTCCTCCCAAATTTGCCCTAAACCAGGACAAAGTGTAAAGAGGATGGGCAGTCCCTGCCTCTGGAGTTGCTACCCAGTGTGGAGGCCCATGGGCCTGCTAGGCTCCACCTGCAGCCTTGCCTTGGAGGGATGTCCCTTGAATGGGCTGTGGTTTGCTTATCTCAGCCTTCCTGGAAGGATGCTTTTTAGGTTGGCACATCTTTTCTTATCATGGTGAGCTATTCCCAAAAGCTTCAGTCATCCCACTGTGCCCTAGTACCCATGTTAATTCTTTGTAACCCATTAGTTTTTCCCTCTTGGTACCACCCTTGCTTTTCCCCATAAAAACCCCAGTTTTTCCCCCAAATTCTAAGGGAGCTGTCGTCCTTGGTTTCTTTTTCAAAGCTGCTGGATAATAAAGGAATTTCTGTGGAATCACCGTATGACGGTTCTGTGTTTTGTCCCTGAGTCGGCCTGGGAGCTGAAATCACTGATCAGAGCTGATCACTTGTGGCCACCGCTTGCTGAGCTGTATCTGGCACTGGGAGAGCTGCCAGAGACCCCCTTAGAAGGCAATCCCTTGCGGGACTCTTCCTGGGAAAGTCGGCTGCTTTGCGGCTCGGAGCATCGGATCTCCACGGACCCTCCTAGCAGCCAACAACCCAGAACGGGGATGGAGCCCTCGCATTCTTTACTTCCAGCAAATCCCTCGCACGTGCTGTGTTGATTTTTTTTTTTTTTTTTTAATTTTTTTTTTCTGTCGCCCCTTGTGTCGCAGGTAGCCGAGAGACCGCCTTCACGTACGCGGTGAGCGCGGCCGGCGTGGTCAACGCCATCAGCCGCGCGTGCCGCGAGGGCGAGCTGTCCTCGTGTGGCTGCAGCCGAACCGCCCGGCCCAAGGACCTGCCCCGGGACTGGCTGTGGGGCGGCTGCGGGGACAACGTGGAGTACGGCTACCGCTTCGCCAAGGAGTTCGTGGATGCCAAGGAGAGGGAGAAGAACTACGTGAGAGGGTCGGAGGAGCAGGCTCGCATGCTGATGAACCTGCAGAACAACGAGGCTGGCCGCAGGGTAAGAGCACTGAGTGCTGGCTGCCTCCTTTACCTGGGGGTGGCTGGATATCAGATCCCTTGGAGGTTTGATGGGGGCTAAGCCAGTGATAGCCCAGGAAAAGCATATTCGGCATTTTTGTGAATATTACAATATGGACAATATTCCGGTTTTAATATCAGGCTTCCTTTGCCAGTGAATTTTGGGGTCTGTTGAGATACTGTGTGGCACACATATGCAGGCACTTAAGCCCTTTCCAAATAAACTAGGTGCTGTTCTGGCCCATTTTTAAGGTTTATGTCTGAGAAATCAGCTTCCCAGAGCTCTGAGAGTGACGGGCTGGTGGTAAAAAGCAGAACCCTTTGGCATGTAGAGTTGTCTTCTAATACCATCGTTTAGATTTTTGGGAATATAGGGCTAGGAGCCTGGCTATCTCTGAAATTCAGGCCTTGCTCAGTTACCTTGGTAGTGGGCACAATAAATAGTTTGCATTTAGGTGACAAACACTTTCTGAGAAGATTCACAGTTTTGATCTGAGGACCCCTAGGGATGGAGAATCCATCACTTCCCTTTGTAGTATGATACCAGCATTAATCACTGTTTCAACTCTGAACCTAGTGATCATTTGAATTTATCTGGCACGGGCTTCCAGTCAGTTCTTTTTCTGACTTTTACAGCTAAATCCAAGACCCTCTTAGTAATCAGAATTTCCTTGGCATACAAGTATTTATCTACTGTAATTTATTCACCGTTCTTTCTTCACAAACTAGATTGAGTTCTGAAGGCTCTCTCAGAGGTTCTCATCAGCCATCAAATAATTTCCCTGTCATTTTAGTGTACCCTTTCCTTTTTCCCATACTGCTTTCGTATGCATTCAGTGCATGCACTTTTGCTTTTCACACAATTCCTCTGTCTGTGATTAATAGCCTGGAAGGTGTAGCATCATTCATCTGTAGTGCAGCTGTGTAATCCTGCCTCTTTCCAAAAGTAGAACAGGAATACTAACTTGAACATTCATGCATTTTCCCCAGGGTGTTTTAAGTTTTTATCATTCTTCCCTAAAAGTAAGCTTTTCAAAGGTTAATTTTATTTCTAATTCATGTTAAAAAATCCCATTAAGTGTGTTTAGTCTTGCTCTTCTGCACATTCATAACTAAAATCCTTGGTTTTCTTATCAATTTTCTCCCCTTTTTTACTTCTAATTGTTACTGAATTATCTTTCCCTTGGATGTCTGTCTTTTCTGTGTGTAATTTTGGGTTCATTTTGACACCAAAGATGATTTATTCAGTATTTCTGGTTGTGAAATCAATGTGTCAGGTTGAAGCATTGCCAGTATTTCCTGGTTCTTTTGCAAAATCCAATTGGGGAAAATTTGCAGTAGGTGAAAACCTGGACTTGAAAACTCTGTAACTCAGTGAGTTTTGGTTTGGGATTGGGTTTTTGGTTTTTTTTGCTTGGATAGGCAGAGGCTCTGCATTTGCTTAGAAATGGGGTTTTGTGTGCTGGAGTAGTAGCCTGAATGTGACATTCTTTTCTGCATTGCTTGCTTTGAACATCCTGTGTATCTGGAACATGAACTTGGGTTACTACAAATAAATACCCTGCCTAAAGCAAGGAGTGAACATGAGAATCCAACAGCCTTGAGGGGTCCAGAGACAGACTATGGCCCCTCGTCTGAGGTGCCAGGTGAATTGCAGTAATGTTGATTAAATGAACACAAGTCATTTTAGACGAGATTAAATTAAATGGAAGTATAAACCAGCGTGTAATTAAGATTGTGGATTTAAAAAAACATAACACAAAACCCTGATAAACTAAGGGAGCTGATTAATAAGCCCAGCCGAGGAACTGGATGTGGAGGAGGTCTGGAACTTTTTCAAGTCAAAGATGCTAAAGCCATTACAACTCTGCATGCCAACAAGAGAAAAAAAAGTTGTAGAAAGAATATCCAGACCTCACTGAATAAATAACTGCCACAGAGAAGCTGTTAGGAATAGACCAAGAGCCTACTAAGAATGGAGAGGAAAAAAAGATAGCAAATAAATAACAAAAAGCTCTGTCTTAGAGGTCAAGAAGTGGAAAGAGGAGGTGAGAACAGGAAAAATCATGCTGAGTCAGACCTTGAAAAGGCTAATAAAATAAACAGCAAAAGTTTTTTAAACTTTGCAAATTGGAGGAGATTGGAAGAAAGGAGACAGCCAGTGAGGATGAGGCTGAGTCTAAAGGCAGAGAAGTTTTGCTACCCAAAGTGAGTGAGTGTTTTTCTTGGGGCTTCGAGTTGTAGTGGGGGGCATTGGATATCTCAGAGGAAAATAGAAAATAATTTGAGAAGACTTTTTCAAAAGTTGATCACACAATCATTTAGAACATCACTGATTTTCTAAAAGCTGACTAGATCCGATAGGTCTCATTTATATGAACTGTGAAACATTTGAGGTATTTTCCCCATGGGAAATTCTTGGTTAAACTGGGAAATATACTGAAAATTGCAGTAGCTGTGGGATGGATAAGAAACTGGTTCAAAGTAAGACGTCAGTAAGTTGTGTGAAAGAATGTAGCTTGATTTTAATGGAGCTTGATTAGCAGAGCTCATCAAGGACTTGCCTTTAGGATTTTTGTTTCTCAGCCTCAACACAAGTGCTAGGAATGGGCTGATGAACTTTGCTGTTGATGCCAAGGTGGCAGGTATTATAACTACAGAGGAGAATCTGAATTCTGTACCAGCAGCTAATGACACTCAGTAAAACAACATTAAGATCATCATTTGAGGCCTTGCATGAAATACATCTTTAGTCATTAGGAAAAGGGTAGGAAAGAATTGGTCGCAGCAGTTGGCTGCAAATGACTGCAGATGTAATGTGGCTTGGAAGGTGGTAAATATCCTGTAACATACTAGACATAAGTCTTTTTATACAACGTGGGGGAATACTAATGCCATTGTATTAAGCTCTCGTGAGGCCCCAAAGTATTGTATGTTCTCATATTCCCAAGTAAAATGACCTCAGACTAGAAAAGGCTTGTTAGGGCTGACCCAAGGGATAGGAATCTTTTCTTAAGAAAGTGTGCTAGAGCAGCTTGCCATATTTAGCCTAGTAAAGTGAAAGTGGAGAGAGGATATGACTGATGTCTGTGTTTGTGGGAGAAATAACAGGGAAGGAAAAGTACTTTTTAAGCAAAAGGCCAATTTGGCACAATAGCAAATGGGCATAAAGTAAATACATATAGGCTGGAAATCAGAAAAAGATATTGTTGGAATGGCAATCAGAATAATGGTGGCTGAAAACCTAATTGCTTTTAAAAGGGCATCCTATGCATTTAGGGAAAATGTTACTTGAAGCAGTGCCTACAATAGCAAGAGATCATACTTAATAACACAGGAGGTCCTGTCTAGTGTGCATTCCTCAACTTCTGAGATACTGGTTTTGTAAGTAGGAAGGTGCATATGTAACTCCTCATTCCCAGAAGTTTATCGTGGATGAAAGGACTGCTGGAGACCCGGCAGTGAGCACTGCAGAGTGACCACCAGCTGCCATCCCACTGCAGCCTTGCCCTGCTTTCACAGCCAGGGTTTCAGCTGATCCCTTCCAATTTAAAGCAGATTTTGGCGTGTCCCTTCGCTCAGTTTCCTATGAGTGAGAAAGTTCTCACTGAATCCTGAGGAGCTCTGGTGGCAGGAGAGAGGATTGTCCCTCCTCTCCGTGGTTCTCAGAAGGAGCTGGGGAGGGAACAGAAGGGAATCAGAGCTCTTTCATCTTTCAGGCAGTCCTGACCCCATCACCCCTTCACTCCACATCATAGTCCTTGTGGTGGTGGCTTCTGGCTTTATTGCTCTTGTTTGTTTGTCTTTGGCTGTTATCTCAATATGTCCTTTCCTTCCATCTGTCTTTTCTTCCAATTGGTCTCCATTAGCCTCTCTTACTGCCCCCCTTCCTTATCTGTCACTCTGTCTGGCAGGCTGTGGCAGTCAGTCCTTCCTTGCTGTTTACCCAGTCAGCATATGGCAGCCTTCAGTCATCAGTCACTCCAGCCACTGCCAGAAGAGCCTGGAAGGGGGTCTGGCTAATTGACCACATAGGAATTATCCATTAATTCTCTTCCTGTTCCCATTCCTGCACTAAAAGAATTGGAAGAGAACTTGGGCTTATGGGAAGGGGCTTTAAGCCCTTCCATTAGAGGCATTTTCAACCTGTTTAAGTGGCATGGCCATCGATCAGATCCTGCCCTCAGAACTGCATGTGGGGTCTGTTATTCTTTACCTTGACCCGAGCCTGGTTGGAGAGGAATTCTCCAATTTCCTCTGCTTTCTCCTCATCTGGGCAATGAAGGGGGAGAGTGGCAGAGTCATTTAGCAACTGGAGCTATGGCTGGCTCCACAGGACATGGGTGGTGGGAGCTGTGGGGGGCTGAGTGGCACCATGCTCACCTGTGATCACTGGTAGCCCTCGCCTTCCCCCGAGCAGTTACTGCCCACATGGGCCAGATGTTTTGAGCATCAGTTGCCGAAAGCCAAGTCAGAGTGAATTCATTCCCATGACATTAACTGAGGGGGATTGAGTTGCAGTGTTTTTCTAAAGGAACAAAGCCCAGGATTAGGAAGAATCATAATACTTTATAAAAACACATGCAAGGGCAAGGGAGGCATGAGTGGCCTGGGATTTGACAGAACCATAACCAAAAAGTGCTAACACAGGCTTATAACAAGCAGGCTGGCAGTGCAGTGAGGATATAGTAAGTGTCTGGTGCTCAGGAAATTCAGCTGTAGCCTGTCTGGTCATAGTACAGCAGGAATCCTTAAGTAACAGTGTGGTTGGTCCTCTGCAGTTGTAGTTTGATCCAAGACAAGTGCTTAACTCCCAGCTTGTAGCTGCTACATTGCACCATGAGGGATTGCCTTGGTAAATTGAGCTCTGAGGAGCAGAACCAAAGCTTTTCTGTTTTAAGGACTCACCCCATTGACTTTCTCAGGAGCTGGACTGGCCTCCATGTGATTTAGCCATTAAGCCAAATTGAATCTTCACTAGCTGTCAAAAGCACTAGACATTAGCTAAGCAAGGAGCAACCAGTTGTTGTAGGAGAACTCTGACCTCTCCCTGCTGGTCCAGAACGTTGTTGTAGGCAGAAGCTTTTGCTTGCAGCATGCTCAATTGCCTTAATCACCTTGGCATGTGAAAGCAGGGAGCTGGGAAGCTTTCTTTTGTGTCAGTGAGTGAGGCAAAAAAGAAACCTCTGTGTTTGGCTGCTTTTTTCAGCAGAAAACCTAGCTGGAAGACACATGGCCATCTCTTTTAGAGCACTCTATTTTGTTCTCATGTTCCTTGCTCTCCCCCATCACATACAGCTGATGGTAATTTTGCAGCCGATGCCAAACTTCTCTGCTTGGCATGCAGGATCTGGCAGAAGCACTGCAGGATACAGGATGGTCTTGGGAGAGCAGATGTGAGCCTGATGGTGAGAGGATGAGGAGCCAAGGGCTGGGGGATCAAGCTGCTGTAACGCAGAGTAGCTCTGTTGGGAAGGGGATGCCCAGCTCTTGCTTGGCAAGCTCTCTCAGTGTCTGAAAGCTGACAGGAGCTCACGTGGCATTGCACTTTTGTGCCTGTCTCTGAAATGAATGGGAAGAACAAACCCAACCTGCATTTCAATTTGCTTTCCTTGGTTTTTATTTCTCAGTATTTCTCTCACTTCCCAGTTAGTGTGGAGAGTAAACACCATTTCCTTTAACATCCTGTGCTTGCTCTGATGAGGTTTTTACACTCTGAATTTTCAAGACTCTTTGCTAACTTTGATGCTGGATTTCCAGGGGTATGATGCATCTCCAGCCCCCGCAGGCTCCTGAAGATGTAGCTGGAAGTGTCTGGGGAAAGGCAGCACAGGGATCTTGGGTGTGCTGTTGAAATCCCGGCTGTTCTGCCTGGTGACAGCCCTGCTAGTGGAGGGAGCTGGGCACGAGATGGCGCAGGAACGCAGCGAGGGCTCCCGGCTCAGCCCTGCACTGCCTGGAGAGCACCTCCAGCTGCCTTCCAGGGAGATGTGTCCATCTGTGCACCACCACCCCTGCCTGCCTCTCTCTGGACACTGCCCCTGGACCAGCTCCTCTCGGCAGAGATGGAGGGAAAGGGTGTGGATTTATTTCCAAAGGATGCAGATGTATCCCTGTAACGACAGTGTCGAGTCCTGGTGCAGGTGGTAGGAAATGGGCTGGTTCCCAGGTGTGTTCCCTTTCTGCAGCACTGAATGGGAATAACATGCCACACTGTGGTGGTCTGCCAGGTGGGGAATTTCCAGAGTGCACGCAAAGAGGGCTCCTTCTCTTTTTCTCCTGCTCCTGACCCTGCTGTCAAGGCAGAAATCTGGCAGAGGGAAAGAAGGTGGGGTGAGGAAGTCGTGTTTGCAGGCAGTGTGAGCAGAAATAGAAATATTTGGGGAACAGGAACACAGCAGTCGCAACAGGGGGAGGAGAAGACCTTTGTCTCCTCTGAAGGGCGAAACAACAGAAATTGCGGGATAATCAAAGCAGCTCTGAGAGCGCGATGAATTCATTGCAATTAAGCCAGCTGCCAGTGCAGCGGGAACGAACCCAGCTCTGCCTGATTGCATTTCTCTCCCCACAGGCCGTGTACAAGCTGGCAGACGTGGCCTGCAAGTGCCACGGCGTGTCGGGCTCGTGCAGCCTCAAGACCTGCTGGCTGCAGCTGGCCGATTTCCGCAAGGTGGGCGACCTGCTCAAGGAGAAATACGACAGCGCCGCCGCCATGAGGATCAGCCGCAAGGGCAAGCTGGAGCTGGTCAACACCCGCTTCAACATGCCCACCCAGGAGGACCTGGTCTACGTGGACCCCAGCCCGGACTACTGCCTCCGCAACGAGACCACGGGCTCGCTGGGCACGCAGGGCAGGCTGTGCAACAAGACCTCGGAGGGCATGGACGGCTGCGAGCTGATGTGCTGCGGCCGGGGCTACGACCAGTTCAAGAGCGTGCAGGTGGAGCGCTGCCACTGCAAGTTCCACTGGTGCTGTTACGTCAAGTGTAAAAAGTGCACAGAGATCGTCGACCAGTACGTCTGTAAATGAAAGGAGCCGCCAAAGCAACAAATCTATATTATATAAATCTATATAAATATATTTTATATTTGTATAAATAAACAGATGGTGATAATAATTAAAGAAGCTTATTTAAGAGACGTTTTGGTTTTGGAATTTCCCCTCCCCCCCCCCATCAGGCCAGGTAATTTGATGTTCTTTCAGTTCTGCTGGGGAATCTGTCTTTGGGTGCATCTCCCCTCCGATGCTTCAGTCAGGGTGAAGAAGCTGAGGAGGTGCTGGCAAAGCACACCAGCACCTGCTCTTTCATTACAGACAGAAAGCCAGTGAGAGGAAGAGGAATGAGTTCTTTCTTCTCTCTGATGAGTAAATCTCAGCATTTTGCAATAGTTACTGCACATTGGAAATTACAGCCAGACATGGGTGAGTCCTAGTTATTCAGATTTCAAATCCTGCACTGGGAAATTCAGAACTGATTCTTGGTCCCTCTAAGGGCTTTGTCACATTAGAGGGAAGGTTAGCTAAGGCTACAAGGGTATGGCTTAAAATCCACAGTCTTGTAAACCATTCCTGGATGCTCCCCAGACCACAGTGGGGTAGAGGAAAGTTCACAGCCTGCTGTTATGAGGAAGGAAGGTCAACCTGTGGCTGACCAGTGCACAGCCTGGGAGTGCCCATAAAGCCAACACCTGGCTCTTCTGTAGTGCCTGGGCTGAGGGAAGTCTGCCCAGCTCAAACCACATGGCTGTGTGTGTGAGGGATTTTTTTTTTCTTTTCCTTTAAATCCCATGCTGAAACTTAATTTTTCAATAGAGAGGAAAAGCTGCCGGTGCCAGGGATGTTTGCAGAGTATATTTTGTCAGTGGAAAGAAGCATTGCACACATGCACGTGGCTGCACTCCTCATCCTGCTGCCAGTTCTCCTCTCTGAAGTGGATGCAGGTGGTCACCTTGTTCAGCTCTGTGAAATCCTCCTCACCACCAGCCCAGTTGTATAGTTTCTCTTTAACATTAAACGCCCCTCAATGATATTTCTTTCCTTCTGTTGCTTGTGTATACATGCGTTTTGTTTGATTTTTGGTGAGGTTCTTTTCTTTTGCTGCTCTGTGTTTCAGAGGGCAGTGCTCTTCCCCAGCATCAGCTAACCACAGGAACGTTTGCTCCCAGAGTGTGGGTGGATGTTCACTGTGGAAGTCTTCTCTGTGTTTTTCCTTGGGAATAAAAAGACTGTAATAAAAGTGTACCAGGGCAGAAGGCATTACCAAGGTCTGCTAATCAGTCTTGCCACACTGGGATCTTAGTACAATCCAATTCATAAAGCAGGGAGCAAATGCTGTTTCTAGCACAAGACATTTCCTGTACCTCTCAGCATCTGCAGAGTTCATTTGCAGTCAGAACCATCAAGAGATGCCAATTCCCAAAATATAAGGGTTTGCTAATATACATCCGCTTTGTTACTGACATTGCAAGGGTGTTGTTTTTTCTTTTCCCTGTAAATTTTAAAATATGCCAATAAGCAATGAGCCAGTCATGAAGATTATTATTTTTATATTAAACCTCTGTTTCTTATAAAACATTGCAGTTTTACAGATTCCACCATTTCAACCACCAGAGAAGAATTTATATGTACCTTTCATACTTCAAATATTTGAGGACTCCAGAAAAGCACAAGGAAGAGAAATTATGCTTAATAATTAGGAGCTGTTGTTTTTTTAAACCAATGTGTCCAGTTTTTATTTTATTTTTTTTAATCCAACAGGCAATATATTTGCTGGCATCCCAGAATGCAGTTTTTTGGAATATAAACAGTGGCCTAGATTTACTTTATTATATAAAATCCAAAGCCAGTGGTATTGTAATTCAAAGTAACGGAAATAGTTTTCCATGCATGGAAAAAATGTGAGTGCAGTGGCCTGATCCAACTCCCATTAAACTTCAGTGGGAGCTGGACTGAGCCCAAGATTGGATCAAATGTGTGAGCTATTCACTCCTGGGATACTCTGTTTCTAGCCCAGTAATAAAATTTGCTCCACCTTGGATAGATCTGAAAATGAACTTTCCTCCCACTACCCTCACCTCATGTTCTTGTCCATCCTTATTGTATCAGCGCTTGAAGGTGTCAGCTCTTTGTGTATGACACCCTCAGGCATTGTTAATGTGTCTAATAGTTCAAAATTACTTCATCTGGCCTTTCTGATAAAGACCACACATTTTAGGGAGTCACAACCCTCCTTGCGGTTTGGCACCACGATTAATTTTGTGGGTGTAAACAACTCTGGGAGCGGAAAAGTTGGCATTGTTAGGGCTGCTATTCATCTGGTGTCCCTGGATATGTCCTTTTTCCACCTAAAATGTTGTCTGGATGGAAAAAAAGATGTGTTTTGGCCTTTTGTCCCAGCATTCCAGACCTCTGGCAGCCTGCTTGGAGCCAGCAGTTCCTATTGGACTGGGACCATACAGTGATAGGAGAGAAGTGACCATTAGATTTCTTTCCTCCCCCTTTTTTTTCACAAGACCCGGGTTTCAGTATTTTAGATTTTCTGTGAATTTTCTATCCAAAAATTTGATCCCACTAAACTCTAGCTTCAAACTTAATTTCAATGGCACTCACACATAAAAGAACCTCCATAGGGTGGTAGTAAGTGTAAAATAAAAGTAAGGCCAGATTGGCTTGATACAAATCCAAAGGAAGTAAAACAGAAAGCTGCAGCAGAACTGCTTCTTTCCCATGGAAATTAAAAAGTGGTGGATTTTAAGTTGAGCCTTGTTTGATGCACAAAGTGATAGAAAGGGGTGTGGGGCTGGGAGCTAAGCTTAATTCTGAGCTCTGATGATAATCTGCTTTGTAATTCCCAAACAGTTACTTAATTTCTTTGCATGTTAGCCTCCAGCCTCCTTCTGTATAAAATAAGGAGCCGGATACCTCCTTTTTCTGTAAAGATCGTTGAGAAATATGGCTGGAAAAGGGTTTAATTGAAGGCCTAATTAATTGAGTTCTCTGCTCATTAACTTTGGCAGGCAGGCAGCTGTACCCACATTGTGTGGGGACACTCAGCTGGGCACAGAGAGGCTCAGCTGCACCTTGCAGGATTGGAGGGGGTTGCTGGGGGGCTCAGCAGAAGCCTTGGAGGCTCTGTAACACCAAAGAATTATTCTGGCACAATGCTGGAGGAAGGATTGTGCCACACAAGAGAGGTCAGCTCAGGGCTTGTTTATTTATGGCAATTGAAGATCTTGTAGCTAAAGTAAGGCTTAGGGAGGTCAACCTGGTTTCTGCCTGCTCTAATTCTGTCTGCAGTTTCATATGGATAAGATACTCACACAGTACACTATTATATACTGTGGGCTGGTAACTGCCTGCCACATTCCAACCCTGAAGTCGCTGCACTTCAAGGCTGATAGAAATGGCCACCCTTAAGTCATGTAAAACTAAAATATTTTGGGCTTAAAGGCACTATGCAAATATACTGTTACTGCAAGTCAGTGAACATGGGCTCCTAAACGGAGCAGAACAGGATGCAAATCTGTCATCATTTTCCAGCTGGCAACTACTGCCTAAGTTAGAGTGGGAATGAATGAGGCCTCAGTATGCTCTGCTGCAAGGTAAGCTAAGCAATAGCTGATCCCTGAACAGGAGCTTTCAGTTGACATTCATCATGCTAAAAAAGAAGGTGGCAGGGTTGTGAGAAAATTTAAACGAACCTTTTAACACTGCTGAACTTCAGGCCACTTGAATAATTTGGAGGCTCCGATTCTTTGTCCCCAAAATGTCTGTGCCTGCACAGAGCTCAAAGTAGCAGAGCAGCTGCTGCCTTTTGCAATTCAGGAAACAGCCACGTTGAATCCAGACATGCAGCCTTGGTGTAACTTACACTTTATATATGGACCAAAGTTTGTTCCCTATGGACCCTGACAAAGCACAAATGAAGCAAATATTTTTCAGTCATATGAAATCAAACAGTCTCTGCTCACTTGACCCCATCCAGGGAGAAGCCTAGTAGGTTTAAATTACACTGTGGGAGCAATTCCTCATCACCTGTGGCTACAGAAATATAGACAGTATTTTCATCTGCTGACACAGCTACAGAACATCCCAAGGAGACCTTGGGAAATACCTTCCAGTGACTACAGGGCATTTCTCAAGTGTCTGTCACAAGGCTTTTTCAGAATCAGATGCTTATATGGTCATTAACTTTCATTTAGCTTTTGTTTAACTACATTTCAGGTTAAATAGTTTCTAACAGATACTCTGTGAAGTGAGGTTCACTGAAGGGCAGGCTGTGAAGGAACTATCATAGGACAGACACATGGCAGATGTGAACAAAATATCAGATCCCCTTCTTCTCACAGGCAGACTCTGGCTGTGTTTAATCCGTGGGACACAGAGATGCATCCCATCCCCTTGGTGCAGATGTGTATCCTGGCCATATTCTGACTCCCTGGCACCAACACCCTGTGTGCAAAGGCTTGTGGATGCTGACACTGTCGAGTGGGTAGCCTGTCCCAGCTCCAGGCTTTGGGACTGGGCCACCTCCTGAGCATACCAGCTCTGAAGTCTAAATATAACCAGCTCAAAGATAAGCAAAGGTTACATTTCTGTGCCCAACAGAACACCTGCTAGAAAAGACGAATCATGATCAGCAGTTGTAAATGCCCAAATAAAAATAATAAACCCCCCAGTAGGAAAAAATGATCACAGCACACTCGTATTCCATCCATTATAAAATATCTTGTTTCTTAGCCCTGTTTAAATGACAGTTGAGATATATATATATATTTTTTTTTTGCATCAGAATTAAAAAATGTATGAACCTACATGATAGCATTTCCTTGAAGACAGAAAGAGAGAAAGGGGGATCAAGCAGGGTCAGGAGCTCTCCCTGTGAGCAGTGATAAAATGCAGCAGCCATAAAAGGAACTACTAAATACTGCCCTGTGACACTCGAATTGGACACCTGCCCTAAGTGTCACAGTTAGCTCTCCATGTCACCCACCCAATGCAAGCTGGCTCTGAAGCTCCCCCCAGCTTCCAGTACTGGCAGCTGTTCCAGCTGCACCAGTCTTCAGCAGTGGGACTGAGTGTGTGGTGAGGGTCGGGCCCCTGGTGATTTGGGAGGAGAGGGAGACTCTTTTTTTTTTTTTTTTAATTTTTTTTTTTGGCTGGGAGTGGGGTACGTTGCAGGACCTCACCCAGGCCCTTTTCCCATCACTGCTGTCACATCCTGGCAGCAGTCCTGGGGGCTTCAGAAGGGAGCTGCTCAGGTACGTTTTAGCCAACAGAGATGAAGCAGTTTAAAGGCTTGCAGCAGTAACACGCATCCTGGAGAGAAAAAAAAAAAAAAGGTCCAGGCTCTTCCTTGCCCCGAGGCAGTTTTATTCTGAATCATCATCTGTCTTGTGGCTCTTCCTAGAGTGCCATATCCGTGTGTCAGCCCTTCACAAGACTCCCAAAACATCGAGATTATGCGGGATGGGCAGGATGGGGCATTACCATGCAAGGACAACACTGCCTTTAGGGGAAAAAAATGAAAAGATGTGGGGTAGTCCCACATCTGTTGGAGCTAATGGTAACCCAGTCTTGTCCACAGCCTCAAGGAACTGCACAAGCACTTAGCATCATCTTGGCCTGAGCAAACACCTAGACCAGTTTTTTAGAGTGGCAGCTCTTTGCAATTCACTGTGATGATTCTGGCAGGTCTCAGTTTCATTTGCCACAGGCAAATTTGTTTTCTCTTGCTTGGGAACAACAGAGTTAACCAGTAATGACCTGCCAACTTCCACAAATCACAGGGCTGTGTATATAGCACAAACACATTCTGAAGG